TATAGTGTGCATCTATACCAACAAGTGAGTATATGCATTTTTATCCTGATCTGTGTCCTCTTTGTCCTCTTTTTTGTGTTGCACTCTTTCTTTATTGACAGTGTGCTGTGAAGAAAACCCTATGATAGGTTCACCTCAGGGTTCTCATCAGTCAAAAATGACTTGGACAACAATGAAAATGTGTGTCACTACCCTACTTACTATTGAAGGATCTCATGACAAGGCCACAGGTTCAATCCCTAGTGACTGTAATTAAAATGATTTCTTGACTTATGATCCCATCTCCCACCATTGGACTAGCAGCTGAATCTTTCTTCAAGTAATATTGGTAATGGGAGAGCGTCTTCCACAACACTGGATATTTTAGGACCCAAAGGTAGCCTGCACAGGAAAGAACTCCCTCCACTTACATCTTAGCATCTGACACTTGACATGGCTGCCTCTGTCCATTTAAGTATTTGGATCTAACAGTAGAACCAGCCCTAATACTTTCTTGGACAATTTGGTAGTCCAAGTGGTACTAAATATTTAGTATATTGATGGGTAACTTTAAGGCCTCCTTGTAGTCCCTTATCTTTAAACCAGATCAGAACTGGAAAGCCCTTGACCTATGGGATATCTTCAAATAGAAGACAGCTTTCTATTTGAATAGTTGTCAGAGGACAGTTGTCTTTCAAGTAAAACACATAGTCACCCTAACAGCCAGCTATGCACCCTCCCCAATAACAGGACTATGTTGCTGCAGCCATAGTGATTATATGATGTTATCATATCTAATTTTTCATTTCAGAATTAGACCTTTGCCCTCAAGACGAATGTTGCACACCATAGTCACACTGTATGAGTGGCTGTCCATGATCCAATAAGGACACATCCTTTAAAAGTCCTTAAAGCAATTTTAGTTCTGGTTCTCATTAGAGAGGAACACATATTTCAGTTTTTTTGAAATGCTACCAACAAGCCATCCTTTTCATGGCCAAATGACTAATGCTGAAAAATATCAGAAGGAGGACAACAAACACATAAATAAAATGAATATTATAGCAATTCAGACAAAGCATCTGAATGGCCCCCAGCAAATCATCAAAGACAGACTAAGAAAATGAAAAGCACTCTCTTTCTTGGAAAGCTGTCAGTAGTTTCAACAGACTTAAAATTTGTTGAGATTTGTGCAAGGGGATTGCATTAGCAGAGTGGAATTTGTGATTTGTTTTCTTTGAAAAGTAGAGTTCCTTCACACTCCCTCAGACCATTGCCATGTTACAAAGTTCTTTTCAAACTCGTGAGTTTCAAAATAAGTTTCACAGGTTGCACAGATTCAGTTGTGGGCAGGGAGGGCTGCTATTAGAAAAACAGAAGTCTTAATTTATCTCCCTTGGCCTCACAGAATGAGACAATGCATTTAATATGGTTTTCGCAGAGGCTCTCCCTTAGCAAAAAAAAAAAAAATCTATAAGTCATAGCACATAATTTTGCTCACCTATTTATCTTGCAAGAGCCAGTGTGGTGTAGTAGTCTAAGTGTTCGACTATGACTTTAGAGATCAAGGTTCAAATCTGCACTTGGCTATGGAAATTTACTTTGTGCCCTTGGGCAAATCTCCCTTCCTCAATGGAAGGCAAAGGCAAACCTCCTCTAAACAAATCTTGTCATGAAAACCCCATGATAGGTTCACCTTAGGGTACCATAAGTCAGAAAAACTTGAAGGCATACAACAGCATTTGTTTTGCATTTAATGGGGGGCTTTTGTGATTGGTAATTGGAAGATAAATACAGTGGGCCCTCCACATTCGCTGAAGTTAGGGGCACAGGACCCCCATGAAAGAGGAAGAACTGCAATTTTAAAAAAAAAAAAACACTATTTTTTAAAACCTGAGAAGACTTCTCTAGGAATCTCTACGTCCTCCAGTGCAACACTATGGTCAATGTTTGCCTGACTTTGACCATTGAATTATGCTGGGAGACCTACAAATGCTTAGAGAAGTGTTCT